ACGTCCGAGCGATGCCAAGGGGGAAGAGGCGAGGCCAAAGATGCACTCCTCCTCTCTCCTCCTCTCCTCCTCCTCCCTCCCTCCTCCTCTCCCTCCAGCGAGGGGAGGAGGCGAGGCAGGCAGGGGGGGGGGGGGCGGCGGAGGCGGGCGCCGCCACCGCCTGGCGCCTCGGCGCCTCGAGGGGCCAACAAGCCCCGCGTGCGGGCACGGGGCGCGCGCGCACGCGCGGGTTCAGATCTTCGCTTAGGAGGAGGAGGAGGAGGAGGAGGAGGAGGAGGAGGAGGAGGAGGAGGAGGAGGAGGAGGAGGAGGAGGAGGAGGAGGAGGAGGAGGAGGAGGAGAATTCGGGAGTATTCGGCTTCGACGCAGTCGAGTTTCGCCTGGGCGGGTGCCGCGTCGGGGACCCAGAAGCACTTGGGGCCCTTAGAGCGGCACGGGTCCCGTGGGCCCCAGATCAGGGCGGGCACGGGCTCTAGTGCGGGATATCCTTACCCCGAGACAACCGAGAAATTACATACTTCCCATTCTTTGTGGGGGGGCCGCAGGGGTCGAAACGCCCCTTGATACTTCCCCCGTCAGACGCTTTGGCTCGACGGCCACAGACTTTGCACCACCACATGGAGGCATGCTCGGCATACTCCACGGTGTGCGGTGAGTGGACAGCTCTTAGGCCAATCTGGACAGAGTGCCTAATCACTACATCCCCGCGGGCCTTTGGGTTCCCTGGGGGCCGGGGCTTGCAAATCCTAAGCCATCTTTTGATGGTGGTAAGTCCTGACTTGCTGCTGATTGCCTCGTTGCACGAACTACATTGCCATCTACTGCGGGAAGGGTGCAGGCGATGCGGAGTGGAGGAGAGGGCCTGGCTCAACTCACTAATCCTCCGAGCTCTGGTTCTTCTTGCTCCTGCAGCCTCCTGGACCTCCTGGGACGACGGATCTCGAGCGACAGCATCCAGGTGGGCGCGGAGGAGACGTTTCCACACGAGCGAGGACGTCGCTCGCGCCCATTCATACAAGCGAATCTGTGCCCTTGGGATCGCGTGCATGGCCGCGCCCCGCTCTGCCAAGGCGTCAGCCGCGGCGTTGCCGAGCCAGGCCTGCTCGTCGAGGTGCAACGCGATCATCTCCTCGGCCTCCAGGTGGCTGGTGATGTGGCGCAGCTCGACCTGCTCGAATGGGTGCTCGTGCCCTGGGCTACGCTGCCGCAGGGCGCTCTCCATGGCGTCCCAGATGTCCCTGTTGCTTCGTGGTGCACTTGTCCTGACGTAGCGTGCCCTCTGCCATCCTCGGATCGCCACGTCTGAGTCGGTCCATATGAGCACTCTACCTCTGGTGGGTCTCAGCGCCTGGACAATGGCCCACAACTCCGCTCGGTTGTTGGTCTGACGTCGTCCTGGCAGAGGTCCGTACTGAGCTCGCTGTATTCCCCATAATCCATCTCTTTTTGCCATGCTCCCCGCCGCTTCCGTCCGTGCTGATGATTGTGATGTCACCTGCGACGAGGGTGCAGCCATCGTCGCCGAAGCTTATTGGTTGGTTGGCGGTCGTGCATTCAGGCGGCGTGGTCCACTCACGTGGTACCAGCCCTCTCAACCAGAAGCATGGCACGTGTTGGCTGCCCTCGATCGCTCGTTGCCGTAGCATGTTGGTCTTCACGTAGTCTTCGTGGTCTTCGTCTCGTGCTGGGCAGCTGCCCCATACTCTGTGTAGGTCGTCGGATACCAATCCACATTCGCAGTTGTTGTCCATGTTGTCGAAGGTCTGGCGCTTGCGCTATGGCGTCCACATCGCCGCGCAAGCTATTGCTTGGAGCATTCCTGCGTCGTGGTGCTTTCCTTTTCTGCGTAGCTTTCGTAATTTCCTGCTGAGGTCGTATGTGTCGATGCCCAACTCGCAGCCTTTGCCAAGCCAATGGTTTGCCGCCTTGGCCCAGTACTGGAGTTGGTGTGCTTCCAGAGTGGCGTGGATCACGTCGGCAGGGTCCCCGCGGTGGTCGCCGTCGCCCATCTGCCATAGGTTGCCCTGGTTGTCGATCCACTGTGTTGGAGATATCGCGTCCCAGCCGATCTCCCATAGTGATAGTATGACCGTCCCAATGGGGCCTCGCCCCTGCTTCCATCTGTAGATGGGAGGCACGTTGTGGAGGCGCTGGTAGATAACTGGCCATGCCTGGTGCGCTCCCTGGTGTAGGTGACCGCGTCGGCTCCAGACGTCGAACCACGTATCTATCACTCCTCTGAGGATGGCTGTAGCTGGGTCCGCGTCCGCCAGGGTGAGGTAGGTGTGGAGGCATCTGCCCGGCCAGTGCTTCCCCAGTGCCCTGGCGCACCGACGTCTTGCTGTTGTAATGGCTGTCGGCGCTTCTCCGTGCACTCTACATCCGTAGAGGTAGGAGGCCATGGGGCCCTGTGTGATCAAGGCTCTCTTGCGTTGTGCTCTCAGTCGCCGTAGCTTCAGCGCAATATTGCGTAGGCGCCCTGTTGCTTGACGGCGTCGCTTGCTATGTGTTGGTCTGCTCGTTGGCGTACGCCCTGCTCGATCCTGCCCGAGGTCTCGGCCAGTGGTCGCCGCCTTAATGTGAATGCCCCGCTGTCGCACGTGCTTGCATATGGAGTGCGTCATGTCCATGTTGTTGCTGATGATCACACTCTTGTCCGCCATCTCGAGCCCTTGCTCGCTCAAGCATCGTGCGTACGTGGTGGTTGCCTGGATGATGGCGTCGGAGACTCGTTTCTTGCTTCCAGTCGCGCTGAGCTCCACGTCGTCGAACCAAGCCCTGGCCATCACCGCAGGGACTTGGTAAGGCATGCTGTGTAATACCTGGTACATGACTGCTCTGGCGAGCTTGTTCGCGTGTCGGGATCCTGCCACCAAGGATCGGGAAGACAGGATTGGCTGTCCGTATGTCGAGGCTTGTCGTAGGAAGCGCACGGAGGTGTGGAGCTGCAGCTCTAGTGCCAGAATCCGTGGAGGGAACCACATGTGTCTGGTCGCGTACACCACCTGCAGGATGTCTAGCGTGTCGTAGAACCTTTTGATGACTGCCAATGTGGCGGCATGCGCGAGCTGGAGTGCGTCGCAGATCTCGTCGCCCAGGATGCGCGCAGCGGCCTCCCGCAGGCAGCTGATCCCTGCCAGGGCTGCGTCCCAATGCCGACCTGCAACACGTATCCATTTGTCCACCGTAGGCCTCGTGAGCTTCTCCCAAGCTCTGCATATCTGTGGTAGCAGCCCAGGTGCCCTGTCTCCTTCTGTTTTTGGTTGCAGCATGATGATGGTGCTCTGCAGCTGCCATGGCCAAGCGAGCTCGCGCTCGCAGCTGTTGAACAGATCCACCAACTGCTGTCGCCCAGCCTGCGGGAGTCGTCGCAGGTCCGAGCGTGTGATTTTGTCGGTGCCCTTGCCCTTGTCGGGGGAGCATCGCAGCGAGTAGTCTAAGTCGTCCAAGGTCCAGTTCGTGACTGGGGCCGAGCTGGCGTTGTCTTTTACGTCGGTAATGATGGCGACGTAGTCTTGGTGCGAGAGCGTTGGGTGCTGCCAGAGCTCTCTGAACTCGATGGTCTTGGCGTCGATGATGGTTCGCGGACAGCACGCCTTGCCTCGGACGTGTACGTACTCGTCTTCGTGTCTTGGTTGAGGCTTGGTCATCTTGTGAAGTTTGCCTGGGGTGGCCTTCGTAGCGTCGGTGAGCCAGATCATGAAGTTGCGGGGTCTGGCTCTCATGTCGAACTTCAAGGCCCTCTTGACTTCTTGTTCGGCTTGGACCGTCATTCCCTGTAGTATACCTAGCCCGATACTGTGGAGCTTCTGTAGTCGGTCGGCCCACAAATCTCGGTGCTGTCTGGCTGTTGGGTTGAGTCGTGCTCCACCCGTTGGGATACCTTCATATACCAGTTGTCGTGCTGCAGCCTCCAACTGGTGTTGTTGCTTTACTCCGTGTCTTCGTTGTCGCAATGTGAGGTAGGCTCGCAGCGTAGTGGCCAGCCGCCCCCACCAATCGGACTGCTGGTTGCTGAAGTGCGTGCGCCTGGTGCGTGGCGTAGCTCTCGTGGTTGTCATCTTCCTCGCCCTGCCTCTTCCTTTGTAGCGGTGTCTATCCTGGGGCTGGATGGCGTAGGCGGCGCAGTAGAAAGTCTCCAAGGTGTTAACGAACTGGCCGTACTCCTGCCCCAGTGTGTTGGCCGCGCGTGGGTCAGCCATGTAGGCTGCCCCTTGGCTGATGTAGTCGGGAGGCTGTTCGTACTCGGGACGAGGCTTCGAAGTCAACCGCGCCATTTGCCACAAGTCATCCAGAACACGTGTGTCCACGGTGTTCGCGAACTTCGCACCTGGGAGGGAGGGCTCCTGAGACGGCGTCCTGTCCGCCTTCCCAGGTGCGCTCTGTATGGATGAGGATGAGCAGGAGGAGAAGGAGGAGGAGGAGGAAGAGGAGGAGGAGGAGCAGGAGGAGGAGTAGGAGCAGGAGCAGGAGCAGGAGCAGGAGCAGGAGCAGGAGCAGTACCAGGAGGAGGACCAGGAGGAGTGGGGGACGGCAACATTCGACGAGCCTTCGTGCCTTCAGCGCGTGAGCTCGTCAGGAGGAGAGGGAAAGGGGCGAGGAGGACGAGGAGATCCCGGGCCCCCCGAGGGGGAGGCGCGTTGCGTGCACTAGGCATCGCTCGGACATGTGCCTTTTCCGGCGAGGGCCATCGAGGAGCAGATAGGATCATCCCGCGAAGAAGGAGGGGGAGGAGGCTCAGCGGCGCGGGCCTGGACCTCCTCCTCCTCCTCCTCCTCGTCCTTGTCCTCCTCCTCTTCCTTGCCCTCCTCCCCTTCAGGGGGGGGTGAGGCTCCTCCTCCTCCCCCTCCTCCCCCTCCTCCTTCTCCTCCTCCTTTCTCCTCCTCCTCCTCCTCCGCCTCCTCCTCCGCCTCCTCCTCCTCCTCCTCCGCCTCCTCCTCCTCTCGCGAAGTCGAAAAACATGCACAGGGGAAGGGACGTCCGAGCGATGGCCAGCGGCAG